AAAAAAAACAGTACAGTTTTCCAATCTGTTGGCCATAACCGCACTAAGTAAATGCATCTCTGTTTGTTCTTTGCTAAACTAACCATGAAATGCACAATCTCGAATCAATTATATCAAAGGTAATAATTTCGTTTCGTTTAGTTGCAATTTAATGCTTGATTAAGTTATTATGAGTGATTTAATTTATTCGATTTCACTCTTCTATACTATTTTTTTTTGTAGTTTATTTGGAAGCACACTTCTTGGAGTGTAACAAGTTTAAGTTGTATGTATTTAGGTCTTGAAAAGTGTGCTGAATTGAGATGAACGTAATTGCAATTGTTCTAATTTGAGATCAATAACTAAGAGTTCCCATCACCACAAAATTGGTGATGTAATTTTTTGGACAGAAATATTTTTTAATTGGAATAATTTTAAAAGAATCTTAAATAAACGAATGCTAGTTTTAGTGTATCATTTAGGTTATGTTTGTAAATGTAGGTTAGGTTACTTTTGAAAATATAGGTGAAGTTAGCAAATTTAGGTTAGGCTACATTTCAGACTATAATTTAGGTTAGGTTTTTGTATATATTTAAGGTTAAGAAATTTAGGTTAGATTACGTTTGAGAATATAGTTTAAGTTAGAAAATTTAGCATAGACTACATTGATTACCAATCAACAAAATAAAAGCTAGGGTCATATAAAGTCAAGGTCATTTATTATTATGGAAATTTATTCATATATATTTTTATTAATGATTATAGAAGTTTTTTATTGTGTAAATATGAATAATTTAATTTGATAAAGAAAGAACTTGATAAAAGTATGTCAAATTTGCACTAACATTGTTAACGATTTGATACACAAAAGGATGGATCATTGTCAATTGACTGAGTCCTTGAAGATGCGGCGCGGCGATAAATAGTCCTGGACTGATGTTAAATGGGAAAAAAATAAAGAGAAGCGCTATTGCCGATATATTCATAATAAGGGTTGCTTTGTGTGGGGTGGTAAATAGCAAAAATTATATGTTTTCTAGAGACGCCATCTCGTGATCAAATATTTAATCATTTTTTTGCAAATCGTTGATGTATATAGTTGAAGTTAGCAAATTTAGGTTAGGCTACATTTCAGACTATAGTTTAGGTTAGGTTTTTGTATATAGTTTAAGTTAGTAAATTTATCATAGGCTACATTTGATATTTTAGGAGAGATTTTTGAGTATATTTAAGATTAAGTTACCAAATTTAATAGAGGTTGGAGAAGTTAGATTAGGATAATTTTAAGAGTTTAATTACTGAATTTATTATACGCTAGATTTAGGATTATAGTTTAGGTTAGGTTTGAGAATATAATTAAGATTAGGTTAGAGTATTTAGTATAAGCCACATATGAGACTATAGTTTAGGTTAAGATTGACAGTGTAGGTTAGGTTTGACAGTATATTTGATATTAGGTTAGGATTAAGAAATTATTAAATTAGCTTAAATTCATGAGGTTAGATTAGATTTATTCCTGAAATATGAGAAAAAATAAATGAAACACAAAAATTTAGTATATCTACTAATTATATATTGAACAAATTTTGTTCTTTTTTAAAACTATGTCTGCTAATTCCTCTTAGCTTTCTTACTTTTCCTCCTCTTACTTGTAACCTTTTCCTATGTTTGTGACAAATTTTCTTTGATTTGTCTCACTTCTTCCTCCGTTAATTTGTCTTTCTCTTCTTTCCTTTTGCGTTTCCTTTCCTTCTCTTCATTTTTGGCTGCACGAGCCTTTTCTTTTTGAATTTTCCTCATATTCACAATTCCCTTTCCGATTTTTCTTCCTTCGTCTTAATTTGGACATCACTCTGTTTCTGTCTCACGTGCTTGAAAAATCTGAGAACAATTTAGTTTAATAAGTCAAATACTTGATGGTAAAGTGGACAATTACTATTTAATCCCTCATTAAAGTAATGCAATAATTAACAACACGATGTTAATATTCCCAAGAAAACATATACATTTCACAAAACTTTTACCAATCATATAGATGACACGAATTCCCTATTGAAGAAAATCCGGATCTTTCACAAATAATGATACGCATTTTTTGTGATCCACTTTCCTTCAATTCAAGTGCGGTTTTGCATAAATCCACATCAAATCTTAATAACAACAATTGTACAAATAATAAAGAGAAAACTCCTTACATTTACTTTCGTTTCTTGTAAACTTTAAAACAGATGTTAAACCAATTTGTTCCAACTATAATTTAATGTTTGTTTTTTTAATTATTTTATGTTGTTTTCGTTAGATGTTTCCAGTGTTGTTACCATTACCAATTCTTGTTGCTTAGAGTTAATCGCTTCACTATAAACCGTGCACTTAACAGTACATAAATTGTGTTCGCTGTAATTGCTTATAATCATCGCAAAAGCAATTAAAAAAGGAAAGAAAAATCTGTATAGGTTATTACGGATTCTGCAATTCTTTTGTACCGGACGATAAAATCTGTTTTAATTGCGACGTAATAGTTTACCTGAATTTCATACTTCGCTCATCTCGGATCCAATTTAGACTACTTAAACTAGACATTGTTCTCTTAGTCTCATAATTGCATATACAAAATCATTGATAAAATCAAACATGTTTACTTTCAAGTAATTACACAATTTTCATACTTTACTCATTTTTTTTGTTATCTAAGTTAAATTAGTAATTGTTCTCGTTTTTAATTGTTTTATACTCATTTATAACAGTGAAACTTATTTGAAATCTGATTAACGCCATCTATTGTTGTTTTTCAGAAAGTGGATATTATTTTTTTAATTAAAAATTTAGATTAATTAATTAAAAAAAAACTAACTAATTTAACTAAAATAACCTAAATTAAATATTGGAACTAAATTGAAAGAAATCAAAATATAACAAAATAATAAGAAAAACAATGCTCACATTAATAAGTGTTTAATAATGAAACCTGAACTGTCACAAAACTATTAGTAGGCTTATTGGAAAGACCAGAATTTTGTCTTTAAGACACATCTTCAACTATTTAATGGACAAACGTTTTTATCGAGTAATTGAACAAAATGTTTGGACGTGTTTATTTTTTAGAAAATTCGCAAAATTTTTGTTGTTGATTAACATTACTTAAGTATTATATCAAAAGATGCGCAATAAAAGATACATTGTGATGAAATGATAACATATTTGAAAAAGTTTTGGGGTTTTCTAATTATTATATAAAATTAATGAGAAAAGAAAAAGTGTAGACGTGTTTTTTTTTTTTAGAAAAATCGTCATATCTTTGTCATTAATTAACATAACGTATTAGTAGTTATATAAAAAGATGCGAAATAGAAGATGCAATGATAATTAATTTAAATCAGTTTGGGGTTTTCAAATTTTTTTATAAAATTTTTGAAAAAAAAAATTGTAAAAATTAATCGCTCAAATATAAGTTTATTATAGGAAGACTAGACTTAGCATATATTAGGCAATAGTTATATTAGAATGGTGATAGTTTTGTCTTTAATATGCATATTTATAAATCTAATTAACGTTTGTAATGATCGAGTAATTAAATAAAACGTGAAGAAGTGTTAAAATTTTGAAAAATTGATAAATCTGGCTTAGATGAATAAGAAAAAGTTTAAAACTTGAAGAAAAGGTTAGTAGTTTAATTCGCTATTACAATTAGTTAATAAAATTAAACTGATGTAACGTAATTTGATAGGATTAAGGACGCCCTCTATTGTCCTTTTGAATAACTACATTTTTTAATAAATATGTATAATTGTATTCATTAACAAAGTAAAATCCAAAAATTACCTAATTTGATTTAGTATTAAATATAATGGATGATGAAGTAAAATAAAATGTACTTTTGTTCTTATTTGCAGGTGATGAAAGGATGAGCAGGATGAGCAGATCCTGGGGCTCGCAGGACGTGGTCGACGAGGAGGAGGAAGGACGTGGTCGAGGAAAGTACAAGAAGTACAAAAAATACATGATGCCGTTGCTCCTCGCCTACAAATTGAAATTCTTCACTCTGATTCCCGTCCTCATAGGAGGCCTTGTGCTTCTAACGGGAGCCACCGGTCTAGCAGGCTTCTTCTTCGCACTGTTCGCAGCGACAATGGGACTCAAAGGAGGCGGCGGCGATCACTGAAAACATACAATCATCCACCACCTGGAGAGAAAAAACATACAACCCTTAAAACAGAAACACCAAAAACAAAAAAAAGTTAACAAATCGATCCCAAATCATCAGAGTGCAATATTTATTGAATAATCTTCTACATTTACTTTGTTTCTTTGTTCATTTGATGAAGTTTAAGGACCATCAAAGAAGGATCTATGCAGAGATCTTGCCATTAATTTACTTTTCTTTGTTCTTAAATAATAAGTTTCAAATACTTAGTTATAAGTATAATACTTACAGTACATCATGTGTAAAGCATCAATAAGTAAAGTTGAGTAAAATTAATCATAGGTTTAAGCACCTAGATGTTCGTTTTGTGTAAGTTTAGGTTATTTCGATGATTGTAATACTTTTGCGAGTTTGGAATGTGCATTTATTGCGGTAACATTAAAATTGGATGATTGCAGTGTGTTTATTGACGATCCACGGACTTGGACACATGCGAATGAACGTCGTGTCCTGATAATGCCACGACCCTGACAACAGTTTCACGTTCATCCAACATTATTTATTTATTAATTTATGTCTCTTCTATACGTAATTTTACTATTTATTACTAGTTTAAGCATAGATTTAAGCAACACCCAGTGTATAATTTGTTTAATTGTACATACATTTACTTAATTTTGTTTTTCTTGAAATAAACAGTACACTTTTACAACTTTGTTTATTTTTTTTATATATTACCTTTAAAAACGGTTTTGTGTGTTCTAATTACAAACATTTTCATTCAATTTCCAAAACAAATCAGTACTATTGATCATTATCATTAAAATATGAAAAATATTGATCAAAATTTGAGAAATGTAGCATAACTATTTGAGTTTTTAAACATAAAAAATATAGCTTAAGAAATATGTAAAGTTTTACTAAATTTTCCAAAATAAATCAAGACAAATTGAGAAAAAATATTTCATAAATAATTCATGGTAAAATCACAATTTAATCTAACAATAGAGAAAAAAAAATATTCACCAAGAAGTTTGCATTTACTTAATATTTCTTTATTCTTCTTGAAAGTAAAAATTGTTTAATTTTATTAAATTTAAATAAAAATCAATACATAATGACAAAAATGAATGAACTTTACTGAAACTTTACTAATTAGTACATTTCCTACAAAATAGTTTTAAAATTATTGATTTTCTTATTACATAATTCTAATATGAATATTGCAATGTTATTAAAGTCTACATAATATTTCATTCGAATAAAACTTTCAACTTTCTCTTGAAAACAAAGTAAAATATAAATAAATATTTATAGAATGAACCAAAAAAACCTGAGATAAACATATTTTTACTATAACTTCAAAAACAAAAGATTTTTACGAATTTTTGTTGTATGAAAATCAAGGTGAAATTTGTAACATGTAGCATAACTGAGATTTTAAACATAAAAATATAACATAAGAAATATATAAAGTTTTAATAAATTTTCGAAAATAAGTCAAGAAAAATTAACAAAAATTGTTTCATAAAAAATTCACAGAAAAGTTTGCATTTATTTACTTAATATTTCTTTATTCTTTTTGAAAGTAAAAATTGTTTAATTTTATTAAATTTAAATAAAAATCAATACATAATAAAAAAAATTAATGAACTTTACTGAAACTTTACTAATTAATACTTTTCCTACGAAATAGTTTTATAATTATTGATTTTCTTATTTCCTAATTCTAAGATTAATATAAATATTGCAATGTTATTAAAGTCTACATAATATTTCATTCGAATAAAACATTCAACTTTCTTCTTTCAAAACAAAGTAAAACAAAAATAAATATTTATAGAATGAATGAAAAGAAACTGGGATAAACTTATGTTTACTATTACTTCATATAATTCTCCATCTTTTAATTTTTAATGAGAATCAAGAAGTTATGAAATCATCTAGGCAATACATTTATGCAACGAATTGATACATGAAATGTTGTTTCGCTTTAAATAAAAAGTACATTTTTACAATTTTTGTATTTTTTTTTAAATAAATAAACAGAAGATTTTTACAATTTTTTGTATGAAAATCAAGGTGAAAAGTTGAACCATGTAACATGAAAATGTATAGTTTGAAAATTTGTAAACATAAAAAAAATATTAATACAATTTGCGAAAAAAATCAAGAAAATTGATGATCAATGATGATAGAGTAATTAAATAAAACGTAAAGATGTGTCAAAACTTCGAAAAATTGGTAAATCTCTCTTAGATGAATAAAACTTGAAGAAAAGATTAGTAGTACATCTAGGTAATGTACTTATGCAACCAAATGAACAAATTAGTATGCTAAATGTATAGACAAATAAGAATTGAAATTCAATTATAAAAATATGAAAATTATGAAAGTTATTCAAAATTGATAATTTACTGAAATATTTAATATTATATATTTAAGTAAATTAAATGTTTTTTTAATAATCTAGAGTAAATATAGAAAATTAGTCTAATTAATTATCTTTTAGTAATTTTTATATATTAATTAATTTATTCTATATACAAAAACATTGATAAAACAGTTTATTATATATATTAACTTTAATATTATATTCAATTAATAATTACATAATACCAAGAAATGGTACAAAAAACAACGTTATTTCTCAAACACAAAAATTATAAAAATACCATTCAAACTGAACAAATTGTATGCGAAAATATGTAAGTATATATGAATGCGTATTGATGAATATGTTTATACTGCAGTAAATGCTGCAATCGTATTGGATTTTAGTCCGTTACAGATTGCAGGGCAAGTATCCAAGAGGACAAAAGGAATTCCGGTCATGTTTAATTGAACATGAAAACGGATATGGAAAGAGTATTTTATACTTTTATTTTGTTGTCGTAGTAAAATTGAATAAGTGCAAAACGTAAAATTCAGTCACAGTCACGTAACTTCACTCGTTTCAGTGCGATGCGAAATGTTGTCGAAAACGCGAATTCTCATCATTTTCTTCATCCTTGCAATTGGATTTATCGCAATAAGTGCAAATATTAATGAAGAATCATCAACATCTAACATAAAATATGGTAATTAATTTAACTTTTTATTTATTTTGTTTTTATTTTCATAACATTTTTGTACTGAAACATAAAAACTATTTTATTTTTCATATTATTTTCAAGTAATTTTAATTTCATATAGTTGTAATTAATTAATAACTATCATTTCCAATGATTATATAAACAAATAAAATTTCAAAATTTTTCTAAATAATTTGAAAAAAATATTTTACAAAATTTTAAAAACTATTCAATTTTTAATATTTTTTTTTATTATTTTAAATAAATTTGAATGTTGTAATTAATAAACAACTAATATTTCTACATATTATATTAAAATAAAAGAATAAAAACTTTTTTTTACTAAATTTCGAAAATTTTGTATGGAAGTTGTACGATTCTGAAATGAATCTTTGTAGAATATCAAAGAATGAAATATTAATTAAATTAAATAAGTAACATCAGTAATTAATTTTGTGTTTGTGAAATTTTGTAATTATTTATTTAATATTGTAATCTTTTATCAGTACTTTTTTCATAAATATCGTAAATTTATTCGAATTATTTTCAATTTTTTATTAATAATTTGTCTTGATACAAATTTGTTTATAAATATTTGGTGTGTATTCCTTTATATTAATTTATACAAAAAAATATGTTATATTTCAGAAATTGAAGCACGAAGAAGGAGACATAGAAGGAACAACCACATGATGCCATTTGTGATGATGATTATGCTGTTGAAAATGATCGTGTTGCCGATGATCACGTTCAAAACCATGGCCATCGTATCAGGTTTTTCGATGCTCTTCAGCGTCATCAGTCTAGCAGTGGCATCTTTCGCCGGAAGAGCAGAAGCACACAGGCACCATCATTCGGGTCATTCCGGTCATTCGCATCATTACCATGGTGATGATCCAAGCTACAGCTACTACGATGATTCGATAGATGACTACTACAAAAGACAGCAGCACATCGATAAACGTCTTAGCCAGGAACTCAAACCGAAAGAATTAGTTGCTTTATTACGAAACTAAACAATTATTCATCTAATTTCATTCATTTATTGTAAATTAATTAAAAGTGAAATAATTTAGAAAAAAATGTTTATAAATTAGACAATTAGATTGTAATAATTTGTTCTTGAATTAATTATTTAGGTTTATACTAATTCAAATAATTATGTAAAGTTTTAAGTAAAAATATAAACAAATTATTAAAAAAAAAAAATTTATTGTGTATCTTATAAAGTAAACATCAAATAGTAAAATTAGCAAAAGTAGTAAAAATAATAGAAATAACAAAATTTTCATGAAGAATTTTCAACTATGATCAATCAAATCAAATTCAATCGAATAGTGAAATAGTATAAATAAAAACAAATTGTAACATCAAACAAAAAAGTTACTAGGTTTATTTTATCAAATGATTATCAACCATTATGAGAAAAACCTTTAATCAAGGATAATTACAGTTGTTGTGTGTAATCGTATAGAACTTCAATGGAAGAATAAAATAGTAAATTAATCTAAGCAAACATTTTCTTTTAAAATTATCAACCATGATCAATCAAATCGAATAGTGAAATTAAACAGTAATAGTAATATCAAGAATATTTAAGAAGTTAAGAAAAATTATATTTACTCATAACTTTTTAAGATTTTTCTCATTTTTGTTGTGTATTTGATATAGCTTCAATCAAATAATATTAAGAAACAGAGTAAAAAAGATTGTAATAACAAAAAATAGTTAAAAGGTTTATTCTATCAATGATTATCAACAATTTTTGTGTGTATTCTTATACAGCTTAAATAGAAGAGTAAAATAGTATAAATAAATTAAAAAGTAATAAAAGAATTAGTTAAGACGTTTATTTCTAAAATTATTATCAACCATGACCAATTATCAATTTTTTGTCTTTTTGAGAATTATTCTAATTTTTTTTTTAAATATGTATTAAAATATGTATGTATTTAG